CGAGTGTGTTTATCGAACATAACCCGGAACCTGACGCAAATCCCCGGGCCCTCGCCTCCCCTAGTGTTCCATCGGCCGTCATTGATGAAGGCACCCCCGCCAAGCAAAGGGAAAGGCGTGTGAAAACCCAGAAGGTAAAGGTGCTGCATTTGCACGTTCACCACGTGCGAAGCGCACTCCATGTGCCGCAGCAGCAAAGCGGTGCGCCTGTCGATCAAAATCCCGCTGTACTCGCATATCACTGAGCGTCGACTAAACGGGCGGCATGTATATACGCCTAAACCTGAACCCCTGCCCAAAGATGAACCTCCCACCAGCAACCCCTGAGCTATACGCGCCAAAGAATTATAACGTACACAACCTCCGCCGCCACCATTTCCGCCTCCTCTGTCCAACCCCCTACCCGAACCCTTGTCTAGGCCCTCACTAATTGAACCCTTGCGTGGGATGTTTCCCTGCAAACGCTTCTCTACATCCTTCCCATCTACACCCTTGCCTAGGCCTGCAAGCTGGGAGCCCTTGCCTAAGCCCTCGCCATCTGCACCCTTCTGCAATCCCTCGTCTGCCTGCGAGACCGATGCAGACAGAGCATCTGCCTCCTCAAATGATAGAGGACGAGAAGGAACCGAACCACCACGTCCCGCTGAACAAGAGGCGCATGGCCCTGCTTCTGTCCCTGCAGCCGTTGCTGCTTCAGCCGCTGCTGCTGTAGCGCCTGCTGCTGCTATTGGCAAGGGCTCTCCTGCCGCGCTACGTCGTTCTGCAGCAGAACGTGTTGTCATCGCTGCTACTGCGCACTGGCAACACCTCGACTGCCGGCTAGGCGCCGTCTCCTCTTCTGCTGCGCTCGCCATTGTGGCTGCTGCTGCTGCTGCGCTCGCCGTTGCTGGTGTTGCTTCAGCGGGTGCTGCAGCACTGCGGGCGGCCTCAGCGCTCCACGACCGCCGTCGAAATCTTGGAAGCGGCGTTTGCTGTTCGTGTTTCTGCTGCCCTGTCAAGGTGGCCGCAGCCGCTGTTGCTGCCATGTCCCGTACCGCGGCTGCGGCACAAAAAGCACCAGCGGTAGGAGCTGCTGCAGCGGGAACAGCGGCGGTGGCGCTTCCAAATGTGGGTTCGCTCTGTCTTTCCCTCCGTCTGCGGAGTAACACTTCGTGGGTCCGCCTTTGCAGGGAGGCAGCAGAGGAGCTGCAGTAGCAGCCCTTGATCAAGCCATCCGCAGGTGCTGGTTCTGCTGTTTTGTCTGTGTGTGGGATGAGCCAGGAGGGGCAGCAGCCGTACGGCAAACAGGAAGAAGAGGTCACACCCTCCCCAGCAGCAGCGTCGTTCGTTGCTGCCTTTCTCAACTCACCCTTCTCCTCTGATCCCTTTTTTGCTGCTTCTTCAGCAGCAACATAAGCTGCTTGTGGTACTACTGCCGTAGGGGTCATGTGAGGAGAGGCTATGTTCCCTGCGCCTGCGTCTGCACCAACTGAAGCGGTGTTGGCGAGTCCTGCTTGCTGCCCTTGCCCTTCCCTGTAAGCAAACCCACTGCCCCAGGGCGGACACTGGGCAGCCACTGCAGGGGAAGCAAAACAATCAATGCCCCTCCGCCTGCGAGAGAGGAGACGACGCCTTTTTGTTGGGGGGGGTGGCCAAGGCCTGGCGTGCAGACAGAAAATCGAAGGTAGAAGAGGTAGCAGCAAAGGCGGCACCACCAGCGGCTCTCCTGCTGTGTCTGTGCTACCCCACCAGCTGCTGTCCTCTGCGGCTGCTGCTGCAGCACGCGCCCGCCATCCAATGGCTTCCCTAGCCTCTCTGCGCTCACTGGAAGAACCCGCGCAACCGTCCTGGTGTTGCCCTTGCTGCTGCTGTTGTTGCTGCTGCTGATGTTGCTGCTGCTGTTGCTCCTGCTGCCGTTGCTGTTGCTTTTCTTGCTTTTCTTGCTGTTGCGGCTCCTCCTGGTGAGGCTGCTGCAGCCCCGCACAAGCAGGAGATGCCGACCCCGTGAAGCGGCGCATGGACGGCCGCATGGCCGTCTGCGCGCTGGGGTCTACGCACACCTCTGGCTGGACCTGTGGGGATCGCTGACACCTCTGCGGCCTCGCAATGCTGTGCAGACCCACAGCTCTCTTGACGGGAGGGCTGCGGACTGACGAGAGGCTCCTTTTGGTCGGTGCCCGCGTTTCGGCCCTCCGCGGCCCAGGGCCTTCGGCTGCCCTTGAGCGTGTGAAGGCAAACACAACACAAAAAGCTGCCCGCCACGGAAAGGAAAGGAGACAGACACAAAACACAGAAAGTGCGCAGTTGTACAGAACCCGCGCCGCCACCCGCTTCTTTAAGCTTTTGGTGCTTCTTCACACCAATCGCCGCCTCTTCAGCGCTCCTCCCGGGGCCCCTCACAGATGCTCTGCCAAACACTTTAGACGACGCACTGATGCTGCCGCCGCTGCTTCTGTTCCCTGCAACTGCTACTGCTGTTGCTACTGCTGCTGTTACTACTAAAACGCCCGGAGATCCTCCAACCTCTCACGCCTCTGTACCTGAAGCAGGCGCTGCAGCTCCGCCAGACGCAGCAGCAAGAGTGTGACTGCTTGTGGGCGCTGCTTGTGCCTCTGCAAAGCCCATGACGGGCTGCTGCGAAGCACTGGGAGTGATGGTTGTAAGGGAAGAGGATCCAGCTGCATGCAACCCAAAAGCCAACACTCCTCCCACCTGCCACTTCGGAAGAGCAGCTATCGAGCGGGCAAGGATGCTCTCAGGTGTGGCGGCGTGGGGAAGCCTGCGCCTGAGGCCTATGTCTGCCCCTTGTTTGTGTGCAGCTAGCTGCAGCAACTGCTGCTTTGTAGCAGCCTCAGTAGCCCTCTGCGGGGGGGTGAGAGGGCTTGGGCGGCTTCTAACTTCCGGGCCACCCAAAAAGACGCAGATACACTGTGGCGGAAGGGCGTCTTCGCAGAGGGCCCCTTCGACTTGTGGACAACCGCTAAAGCCTGTCCCGTAGGCCGCTCCTGTTCTGTTTCCCCCAAGGAGCCCAGCATCATACCAGGCAAGCAGACCTCCCACAGGCCTAACTGCAGCCACTCACGCAACGGCGGCTGCCACCTACCAACAGCAGCAGCACTAGTGCCACCGACAGCCGCAACGGGAGCGCTGGCGGCATCTGCAGCAGGAGCGGCCCCTTCCCAGCTCGCGGTCTAGGGCTCTGGGCCACCCTCCGCAACAAGCCACCCACCCCCACCCCCACCCCCTTCCCCCCTGTCC